GAAGTATGGCAAGTTTGCAAGAATGATGAGCTTCCAAATGCAGACAATCTAAATGACTTGAAGATTGTAAGTGCATCTCACAACTCCATAACTATAAGTCGAATCCTTCCCCTCTTCAGACTAAGTAATTGAAAATTTTTTATGGAGAAACACTCTTGGTCTACAACCCTCAGTTACTGGATCATAAACTGTCTAAAAGGATCAAATCTGCACAATGAAAGAGAGGCCGTATCTCGGGAAGACTTTTGTAAGCTTTCAAATCTGAATAACATTGATTTTATTGTCTTGGGAAGACATGACACCTTTTAATTATGAAGAACAATTCAGCAGCCAAGTATTCTGCCCCTAATCCTTGAAACTTTTGGTGCTGTTGTATGAATATTTCCTTTTGGCTAACAAATATAATTGTCTGTCTATACTGTAAATGTTTGCCATCCCTATCTAATGACTTATGCACTGCTCTTGGATAACCAGGTGGGCATGATACTTAATGAAGCACTTCGACTCTACAATCCGATTCCAGATTTGTTCAGGGAAGCAAATCAGAATATCAAAGTGGGAAGCCTTGATGTTCCTGCTGGCACCCAGTTCTATTTGCCTGTGACTGCAACTCACCACAATACTGAGATATGGGGAGAGGATGCGGACGAGTTCAATCCACAAAGATTTGCTGAGCCGCGAAAGCATCTTGTCTCATTTTTCCCATTTAGTTTAGGATCCAGAATTTGCATCGGTCAAAATTTTGCCGTGATGGAGGGAAAAATCATCCTTGCTATGATTCTCAAACAATTCTCTTTTGAATTGTCACCATCCTATGTTCATGCTCCTGTGACATATCTCACTGTCCAGCCTCAATTTGGTGCTCAAATCCTTTTCAGGAGGCTTTCTAGTTGAATGCTTGTAGGGAGTTTTTTTTCCTTGTGTTCTATAGTCTTCCTGTATCCTGTCACAGTTGTTACTTGTTAGTGATATCCTAAGATGCTGTACCACTTGGAATCTTATTCCCTGCGGTAATGCATTTTCCTGTGCTGTGCAAGTTGTGATAAATTTATAGTATGCCGACTGCTTCTTCAAGAAAGCTACTTAATTCATTAAATTAATTGGTTATGCCGGCCGTTTCTAAATACTGTGTTATCATAAACTTGGGATCTACTTATTTAATTCTGCAGTAGTGCTTTTATGTATTCCTGGTGACTTGAATGATGAATGATGAATGATGATGTACAGTCCAGATATTAATTAGAAATACATGGTCTTAGCGAGACAGAAAGAATTGATCTTTCATCTAATCCAATTCAGGGTCTGTAAGAGCATAGTAAAAACTCTCTCTTCAACCGTTCTGTCATGTGCCTAACAATTCCTACCATTCTGCTAGTACTTGTAATCACTCTGTTCAAATTCATATACTCCATCATTTGGGTACCATTCAAAATTCAGCTGCATTTCAAGCGACAAGGAATTGAAGGCCCTCGGTACCATCCATTATATGGAAACTCTGAGGAGATCAAAAGGCAGCATACTGAAGCGGCTTCAAAACCAATTTCATTCAACCATGACATCTTGCACCGTGTGGCGCCTTTCTACAAGAAGTGGTCAGCCATGTATGGAAGAACATTCTTGTTCTGGTTTGGTCCTACACCGCGTCTAACTCTGGCCGATCCAGACATGATTAAGGAGCTTATGCTAAACCATACTGATTGTGTCGATAAGCTCCCATTTACCCCAGTTTCTAGGCAGCTCTTTGGACAGGGACTCGTGGGATTGTTTGGTAAAAAGTGGGCAGTCCGCAGAAGGATAAGCAGCAAGGCCTTCAACATGGAGAGGGTTAAGGTGATTTCCATCCCTCTTTTATGCCCTTTTCAATTTGTTTTTTCATTGAATCAGCCTAATAGATGCCCCATTTAGGATTTTAAGATGCCTGTTTCTTTTTTCTATCTTCCCTTCTTTTTGTTCTGAATTATTACTCTTTCTTTCTTGTTGGCCTTTAATTTTTGTCCATTTTTACCTTAAACTACAATTATTGATAGAAAAAAAAAAGACTCAATTGCACATAAGCAACAAAGCATCCCAATATCAGCTTATCAATTTATTTGTCAATTTTCTGAAACTTTCCTTCCATTTTTAGGAGCACACTCATATGACGGAATTCCCTTATCTTAACCATTCTTAAGTACTGCCGAATCTAGTTAGAATTGGGACACAAGTTTGACCTGAAACCTTCAATGGCTCTAGTTTTCCTCTCGGTTAACATCAAGTTCCTAAAAGCTTTCATACTGGCAAATGCAGATACAATTTAGATAACTAATCATATTCAATTAATTGGCTTATGTATACATAGGGAGGGTTGGAGTTTGGGGGGGGGGGGGGGAGACATTGTAACCCACACCATTGTATATTTCCCTTTATTGGTTTTTGTTTACAATTTGGAGTTGATAACCTTTAAGAGTTAAGTGCATGGTTTTCAGGATTGGGTGCCTGACATCGCAGGTATTACCATGAAGTTACTAAGGAAGTGGGAAGAACAAAGAGGAGGAAGAGATGAATTTGAATTGGATGTACACAAAGAACTTCATGATCTCTCAGCTGAAATAATTTCTATAACAGCTTTTGGGAGCAGCTTTGAAGAAGGGAAGCGTATTTTTGAGTTGCAAGACCAGCAGATCAACTTTACCTTTCAGGCTATGAGAAGCATCTATATCCCTGGATTGAGGTGATCTACTTTCTTATGAATCGTGGAAATGCCTAAAGATAAGCTTAGATCCACGTGGTGTTTTTCGTAGCCATGCTACCATTAATTTTGTCCGCCACATTTAGGTGTAGGGAAATTTTTGTTACATGTGCTTCTGTTGTTCTGATTCTGCTCTATTAGCGGAATCCTTCATGGAAAAATCTAAGGATTTATGCACTGCATAGACCTTCGACTTTGAGCTTGCAGATCTGTTCAAGTGCACAGGCCACTTTTATATGTGACTTGAAGTGCCTGACACAAGTTTGCTTCGTTGGTAATGACTAGTCTATTCCATGTTTGTGAATCTCCCAAAATGGAATTAAATGCAGGTTTCTCCCAACAAAGAGTAACAGGATCAGGGAAAAGCTAGAGAAGGAAACTCGCGACTCAATTAGGAAACTGATTGAGACAAACAAGAATGAAGGACAAAAGTCGAAAATTTTGCTTCGTCTGTTAATGTCTGCCAATAAGAATTTTGATGACAAAGAAGAGGGATTAGATGTGGAAGAAGTCATTGACGAATGCAAGACATTCTACTTTGCCGGAAAGGAAACAACTGCAAACCTCTTGACTTGGGCGCTTCTTCTTCTAGCACTCCATCAAGAATGGCAAGATAAGGCACGAGAAGAAGTTTTTAGAGTTTGCAAAGGCAGTTTGCTTCCAAATGCTGAGAACATGGATGACTTAAAACTTGTAAGTTTCAATTTTTAGTTAATTGGATGTTTTGGGTTCACTGGTAGTACAGATATTCTGATTATCCACTGGATAGGATTCAAACAATGTTTGGCCTTCAAAGTAAAAACTTCTCCAAACAATGACGATGCTTGTGAACTCCTGATAGAACTGCTCAAAATAGCAATGCCTTGCGTGGAATCAGAATCAGATGAAATAGAAAGATGGAAGGATGCCAACTTCTAACTTTTAACAGCTGCAAATTCTGTTCTTATATAATGGTGAATTCAGTGGATTTCTCATGCTAAAATCCCGTTTTCTACTTGTAGCCAGACTGCTGTTTACCGTAATAATCACAACCTTCTCCATGTTTAACTTTTTTTTTTTCTTCTAACAGCTTACCATGATCATAAATGAAACGCTTCGGCTCTACTCACCAATAGCCCAACAGACGCGGAGAACATCCAAGAGCATCAAGCTGGGAAAGCTAGATATTCCTGCTAAAACAGAGTTCTATTTAGCACTCACTGCAGTCCATCATGACCCGGAAATATGGGGAGAAGACGCCAATGAATTTAATCCTCTTAGGTTCACTGAGCCTAAAAGGCATCTAGGTTCATATTTTCCGTTCGGTTTAGGGCCCAGAATTTGTGTGGGCCAAAATTTAGCAATGGTTGAAGCAAAAATTATCTTAGCCATGATTGTCAAACAATTTTCCTTCAGGGTGTCACCTTCATATGTTCATGCTCCAATCATGTACCTCGCCGTGCAGCCTCAGTATGGTGCTCCCATCCTGTTCAGGACCGTCTCAGCCTGAATACTAGTGCAAGAAGGGAAGGGAAGGAGAGATTATTTGCCAATTTGAAAAGCATAAAAATTATCACCATTACACTTTGAATAGCTATTCAAATATGTGGTTCGGCCAAGCTGTCAGAGACTCTATTTGCTGCTAGTGCAATTGGAAATGGGCTAATTTTCCTTGTGTTCTTAGTTTTCATCAATATGTTAGGACAACAAAGGGCCGAGAGAAAGGGAAATCTTGAAAGCACAATGCTTTGGTGCTGGAGTTCTGGTGGCCTCATAAAAGATTTTGGATGACAAGCTAGAAAATACTCCGCTTACAACACCTTAGCTTGCGTAGAACCAATTTACGGTACAATAGAGGGTCAGCTTGATCACGAGCTAGAATCTGATGTAGTTTTACTGTTCTTAATCTGCTTCAACTTTACTCTTTAGGAAACACATGTATACTCAGAGTAATAATGAGTGAAATTACCAAGCTGTTCACCAAGCATTGCCTCCTATGTGAGAGGCGAAAAATTTGGGTAGGCCTGATCTTGTAGATTAAGTGATTTAAACACTTGAATTGATAAGATGATGTAACAAATTTTGAACCATTAGATCTACAAAGACAGAGTCTACGCAGGTGTTTGCCTGTGTGAGAAATCTTGTGCTTTGTTTATTAAAGCCCCATTCTTTCCAAACATTCAACAGCATACTAATATGGGCACAGAAATCAAGGATTCAATGGCTCAGAGAGGGAGATAAAAACACAAAATTCTTCCATGCAAATGTGAAAGGAAGGAGGAGGAGAAATCGAATGAACAAGTTGCAAAGAGAAGATGGATCATGGACTGAAAGTGAGGAGGAGCTAAGTTCGGAGATTGCTGACTACTATAGGAAACTCCTTACTAGCAGTGGAGATGGGGACTTAACTGAGGTACTAGAGGGTATTCCAAACAATATCACCGTGGAAATGAATGAAAACCTCATAAAACCTGTGGAGGAAATGGAGATTAAATCTGCTTTATTCTCCATGAGTCCTGATAAGGCCCCTGGGACTGATGGAATGTCGCCGATTTTCTTCCAAAAATTCTGGATCATTATTAAGAATGATGTGGTAAAGGCAGTCCAATCTTTTTTTCATAGTGGCCATCTCCTTAAAAATGTCAATCACACAGTGATCACCCTCATTCCTAAGGTTCTAAATCCCACATCTCTGAAACTCTATAGGCCTATAAGTCTTTGTAACACTATGTACAAAATCATTGCTAAGATATTAGCGAATAGGCTTAAAAGTGTCTTGCATTGCTGCATTTGCAAAAATCAATCCGCATTCATCCCTGGTAGGCAAATCTTGGATAACATCATGCTTTCTCATGAATATTTGCACTATCTCAAAAACAAAAAGCAAGGTAAGGAGGGGTTCATGGCCGTGAAGCTGGACATGTCCAAAGCATACGACAGAGTTGAATGGAGCTTCTTGGATGCAATGATGGCAAAACTGGGATTCCACTACAAATGGAGAAACTGGATCATGGAATGCTTAAGAACAGTAACATACTCTTTCTCTATTAATGGAGAAGTTAAAGAATATGTCACTCCAGGAAGAGGCATTAGACAAGGGGATCCCCTATCCCCCTATCTATTCCTCCTCTGTTCAGAAGGGTTCTCGAATCTCCTCAGACGAGCTGCAGAGAGCAAGAAGATTTCAGGGATGAGAATTTGCAGACGGGGACCAAGCATTACGCACTTATTCTTTGCAGATGATTCTCTAATCTTCTGCAAAGCAAACCAGCAACAAGCAACAGAGCTTATGAGGGTGCTGCATGTGTATGCCACTGGATCAGGTCAACTGATAAATCTCGACAAGTCCTCCATCCTGTTCAGCAAAAATGTGAGTCCAGTAGAGAAGCAAGAGATCTGTCAGATCATAGGGAACATGCAACAGGTCAGTCAAGGCAAGTACCTGGGCCTGCCAATGGTGGTCACAAGAACAAAGGAACAGATTTTTGGCTTCATACGAAATAACATACAACAAAGGCTCCTCAAGTGGCAGAACAGACTTCTTAGTGCAGCTGGAAAGGAGATTATGCTCAAGTCGGTGTCAATGGCTATGCCCACATATACCATGTCGTGCTTCAAAGTACCAAAAAGATTGTGCAAAGATATCAGCTCCATTATGTCTAACTACTGGTGGGGAGAAGTAAATGGTAAGAATAAGATTCACTGGTGTTCTTGGAAGAAGCTCACTCAAGTCAAGGAAAAGGGCGGCTTGGGATTCAAGGAACTGGAAGCTTTCAATTCTGCATTGCTAGGCAAACAGGTGTGGAGGATACTTACTCAACCAAATCTCCTAGTCAGTCAAGTACTAAAGGCCAAATATTTCCCCATGAGCTCCATATTCAAGTGCAAAGTTCCAAACAATGCATCTTGGATGTGGAGGGGCCTGATGGAAGCAAGGGAATTCGTGGAACAAGGAGTTAGAAGGAGAATAGGCAATGGCAGGAGTACACAAATTTGGAATGACAAATGGATTCCAGATGCAACAAATGGGAGGGTGACAACCAAGAGACAATTGGATAGCAGTCCTCACAAGGTGGACGAACTGATAATTCAGAAAAGATGGAATAGGATCTTGGTATTTCAGCTTTTTAATGAAGTGGATGCAGAACGAATCCTGAGCATTCCAATTAGCTTATCAGGAAGAGAGGACAGTTACTTCTGGTTGCATGGTGCTGATGGTAAGTACTCAGTCACTTCTGGGTACAAGGCATTGATATCCAGTAGAGAAAGGCCACAAAAAGATATTCAGGAGGAGGTGTCCACGAGCTGGGAGCAACAAAATAATAAGATGTGGAAAGTATTGTGGAGACTCAAAATCAAACACAAGCTAAAGATATTCCTGTGGAAATGCTTGAATAATGCACTGCCAGTGAGAGAGATCATCCATGGAAGAACCAAAGTAGGTGATCCTTTTTGCAGAAGGTGTGGGGAAGGAAGGGAGACAATAGAGCATACGCTACTGAATTGCAGAGAAGCTAAACAAATTTGGCAGTTTGCACCTATCCAATGGGAAGGCACGCAAGAATATAATGGATGTTTCAAAAGATGGTGGACAGCAATCATCGAGGCAAGGTATAGAGCATCAGGAGCACAACATCTGGCCCTCACTGTCAACATTCTGTGGCAGATATGGAAGGCCAGAAATGATTGGGAATTCAAGGGGGAATATCATCAGCCGTGGAAGACAATTAAGAAGGCTCAGGAGGAATGGCTAGAATTTGAAGAAGCAACAAACAAGGAAACTAGGATGAGCACAGGAGAAACATCACTTGACAACCATGATGACCAGCAATTAGAGCCGGAAGGAGGAACAGTGATCATGAGAGTTGCGGCAACAAGTTACACAGACAAACCTGCCTTAGGCATTGGAATCACTTTAGCTGAGGGGAACCAAGAGCCAAAGATAGGATGGGCATTAAGAGAAAGAAGTTCAGGGGTACAGCTAGTGGACGAAGCAGTAGCACTTAAACTGGCTATGTGCAAAGCAACCACCTTGCAACAAAGGAAGGTACAATTCCAGGTTCTGAACAAGCAACTTCTCAATCTCATACGATCTCAAAAGGCAAGTGATATTAGAGTAGCTACTATGGTGGAGGATATTGTACAATTGAAAGGGATGTTTCATATGTGCTCCTTTTGTCTAGTTAATAGTGGTAACAATCATCTAAGTTCTAGGATTAGTCTATATGCCTTAGGCATCACAATCGATGAGGAACTTTGGTTTCCTCAGTGTTAAACACACTGATTGTAAAGTTATCTCGAGCCTTTGCTCGCACTTGTACATGTTTTGGAAGTAATATAATCAAATATCGTTTCGGAAAAAAAAAAAAAAACAGCATACTAATACAGTAGGATTATGTTCCAATACAATATCCATTTCCCTTTCCCCTAAGTTATTAAAGGATGTACTCAATAAAAATAGATTGGCAAAGGTGTGAATTTTCGTTCCAACGAAGTTGTGTTATTATTGCTCATGTTCTTGAGATGGACACATTAAATTACTTGGAGATTCGCACAAATTTGTCTGAGAGGGAAAAAAAAACTCGAAAGACTATGTCAATAAATTTTGGGTTGAATCATTGATATTTGATACAAGCAAAAAATCACATGCCAATAACTCCATTTGCCACATTACATGTCAGAATTCGAAGGTTTGGCGACCAAACTTGGAAGTTGCACCAGGAAAGTTAGAAGGCGAGAGCAATGTCTTATTCTTTGTCACAGAAGGCAAAAAAAGAAAGCAAAATAAAACCGAACTTATGGCTGTTGTCTAATGGAATATCCTTTTCCCAAGGAAATGGGAGTACCAAACCCTGAAAATTTCGAAAGCCAAGCACCAAACTTTCTAGCTTGCCACGAGATTCAAACGTGTTCCTACCAGAAATAACAAAAACCGGATTCGCATGAGCTCCAAAAATTCTTTCCCTTCTTCCCTTCCCTAGGACCAAAAAAATTGCAAAACCATCTAACTCGGCCCCCATCATTGGGAGCAATATCCGAACAAGTTTTACCGACCCGTTCTGTCGTTTGACGAAAATGACAACTTCATCCCCAATCGCTTCTTAAAACGACATCCAATATACGTTTAAACGACAGTGTTAAGACGATACATCCACTAAATTCGGCCGCGCATGTCCATGCATGCAGCCAAGCATAGTCCCCCATGTTTGTTTGTTGCCATTTAGTAGAAGTTTGGAAAAAATGAGCAAAATAGTTTCCCAACCTTAATACCAAAAGGATGGTTGGACATGCATACCCCTACACAACTCAAACTGGCAAGGCATTACTCCACATGATCTCTTGCAATGACAAGTCTCGTATTCTATCAGCAGCACTGCAACCCTTTTAAGCACTGACCTATCAAAGTCAGATTTGACGAACCCAAGTTGCCCAAACCCTTTGTGGATTCAAACTTGCAATATGATTCGTCAAAGGGGGCTATAAGAGGACGCAACCTTTATATTTGCTCCACAAAATCATTTAACAAGTTCAAAGTAAACAAAAGCAAATATGTTACTTGTAGCTTTATCCATAACTTGCAAATATTTGTGTTTGGATGTAAGATTATCTGAACATATTTTTATAGTAATATTGTAACACTTTTGCGATGTAATATTTATGAGATAATAAGGTTAATTGAAAAAAAAAAGTGGTTAAACAAACGTGTTTAAGATGCAACTAAAATTTTTTTTGCATAATATAGAAAATCTAATCACGTTATTTGACTTTTCCCTAAATCTTGGATGATTTTTTTTTATTATTTCCTTTGCTCATATTTGCCAGATTTATTGAGGGGCAGGATAATTTGGATTTTCATTTTAACCTCAATTAAATTGGTCATGTGGAAAATACAAAACTTAACTTTTTGAATGATACATCAAATCAAAGATTAATTTTAGGTTTGAAAGATGAACTAAACTATTCGAAATTTAAATTGAGATAATAACTCATTCGAGTTTATTTCGATAACTAAATAAGTCAATAATGAATAACATTTTGTATTGTCTACAATTTTAAACTTAGTTCATTCTTTGCTTAATTAGCAATAAGTTTGAAACTTGCACGAACAAAATTCAAGATACTTGAGTTTAGTTTGATAAAAACTTGTTCGATTTCGACTTTATAAATAAACAGGCAATGCTTAAACATGATTTCAAATTTATATAAAAAAATTCCTTGAGTTGTTTGATTTGATTTGATTAAACTCATTTATACTTCTAATTAATTTGCAAATGATATTTGCACTACAAAATTACCCTTTGCACTTCACATTCTTTCTGTACTAAAATGTTATGGTAGAATTTCAAGAGCTATTTTTGGAGTACAATTATCACTTGTCTTAAATTGATAGAATTAATAGTTGCAACTTGATAATGTGTTCGAATAAAAAATGTTAGAGGACTACTTTGGTCATTTCACCAAGAACTTTTCAATTTCTTTTGAAACTATGCCTTTCCCAAAATACATATTAATTAACTGAAATCCCATTTCCCGTATTTCCTGCTCATATCTTAGGGTTACTGGGGGGGCGTTGGTTTCAGTAGCTAATTTAAGCTCAAACCCCAAAATCCCATCCGAAGCTTCTCGATTTGTATCCTTTGGGCAAACTCAGCAGCCACCAGACCTTCCCCCATCCCCTTCCCCAGATATTGACGAAAGCAAATCAAGGAATTTAAATCACGACGGCTTTTCATGTATAAGACTATTTCTTCAAAGGTTTTATTGGCAGAGATCCTTTTATTGTAAATTATAGTGATAAGGACAACTGGGTTTTCTGGGAATAGCTTCTTTGTTCACAAAAAACTGAAAAGGTACGATTTTTATGCCCTTTTGATTTGTTTTGAAATCAGTTAATCAATGAGGGATTATTTTAAAGCTTTTGACTTTTTGGTTTTGAAATTAATGTTGTTATTTGTATTTCTAAGATGGGATTGCGTTGATGTATCTGGTCTTAGTTTTTTTTTGAATGATTTTGAATTGGTGTTGTTGGATGGGTTGTTTATTGGTTTAGAATAAAAAATTTATGACATACGTGATTTGTGAATAGAAGATTGCTATGTGGAGAATTTAGGATTATTTAGAATAGGGGCTGCAGGACTTATTTGGAGCTTCAGTCTTTTTTTTTTTGGGTGTGTGTGGGGGGTGGGGGGGGTGGTTCCAGGAAAAATGGCCTTTATGCAGCTCTTGATAGTTCAATTTTAAAAAGAATTTATGTTTTCATTTTCTTGCCCACCTACTTGGGCTTGCTTTTAGGTTGTTAGGAAGTTGTGTGATGAGCGATCTTAGTTCACCTCCATCCATGTTAATGCAGGAAAGGGAATGGTAGTAATAAATTTGAAACAGTAACTTTATCAGATAACAAAAATCTTTCCATTTTTTTTGTTTTGGAAGTTATTTTCGTCTGACAGGATTGTGGATCTCGTTGGCTTTACTGATAATTTTATTTTCATTTCAGGAAGGGTTTTTGTGGAATCAGATTCACCCTCTGTAGATAGATGTAAATATAGTTATGAGATTATCTTTTCAGACGTGTTCTACTGGTGGTGTTGTCTCTACTAAACTGCTGAAAGTAAAGCTTCTTTGTTGGCAAGGCCAAGAAGATGCCATCTAATTCTTTCTCAAGACTTATTGTTGCTTGCCGGCAAGGAGTGCAGAGATCAATTTCTTCACAAGGAGGTGGGTTACAAGACTTAGTAGAGCTCCCTATCAGCCAAACCAAATTACTGTTTGGTGGGGCTTCTGGAACAATCAGTGACCTGCATGGTCTCGTACGCCCTGGCACTCTTGCTGCTGCTCAAGCAAATTTGCATGTAGCCAACCGAAGAAAGAATCTTTCCTTTGCTGGAGCATTTTCACGTGCACTTTCTCTTCCATCTGTATCAGGACCTTCAATCCAAGTTTGCAGTTATCATATTGATCAGCTGCTCGCTGAGCCTGCTGAAGTTTCTTTGGCTCACAATTCTCAGAAGGGACCCATGGCTTTATCTTGTTGCAGAGCTTCTCTTGTCAATTCTGCTTTAAGTGATGTGACACTTAGGCTTGTTCAACCTGCTGTCTCAGCCAACAATTCTTTTGCTTCTTGCAACAGTAGAAATATGGAGATTTGTAGGAATACTCGCATGAGTTTGAGAAATAAAGAGCAGCCCAATAGCTTCTTGGTTTATGGATATTTCATATACAACGTGGCAAAGAGGAGGGGAAGGTTGAGTCCCTACCAGGAATTTGGATTAAGGTTTTTTCACACTTCATCACCAGCATGTTCCTCTGCTGGCACCGCTCCTGATGTGTCCTTTGATAGCTCTCTGCGTGATGAACAGCTTTCAAGTTCTGCTGATTCTTATACAGAGTATGTTCTCTCTAGTTTGTCTTTCTTTTTATGTTTAATGTCAAACTTAGTATCGAGAAATGGAAGGTTCAAAGCCCTAGTATGGCCTGATCTAGCCTACTATGTATTGTTTGGCTTGCAGAAGATTTATGTGTGTCTTAGACGATATAGCATGTGAAAGTGGGAAAATAAGCAAAGACACTTGTTTAAATGCCTATATTAGTCAAGGGCCAAAATGTATTGATAATACAAAATCACTTTTTGTGTCATCAGTCTCACTCTCTCTCTCTATCTCTCTTGACGGGATAAATACATGTGCTGGCAAGTTTCAAATCTCATGAGGTTATGTCTCTCTTGATGATATTTATTGCAGGAAGATCCCAACAGACAGATCTTTAAAGCTAAAATCAGGATCATGTTACCTGCCTCATCCTGACAAAGAAGAAACTGGTGGAGAGGATGCCCATTTTATATGCACAGATGAGCAGGCAATTGGTGTTGCTGATGGTGTAGGTGGATGGGCAGAGCTAGGTGTTGATGCTGGGCTATATGCACGTGAACTTATGTCAAATTCAGTAACAGCAATTGAGGACGAACCAAAAGGTTCAGTTGACCCCGCTAGGGTCCTGGAGAAAGCTTACATGAGCACAAAAGCGAGAGGGTCTTCCACTGCATGTATCGTTGCCCTTACAGATCAGGTATCTATACTTTTTAGTTAAATAGTTACTTATTTGTGTCTGATCTATTACTGAAGCTAAGCTTAGATGTGATGCTGTAAACTTTGGCCTATGTGATTCAAGTCTTGTTAAGATTGACTAGTACAGTACTTCATTTATCTAGATTCCCCCATCACATTTTGGATCATGTTGTCTTTCTGATTTTCCTCCATATGCAGGGTCTGCATGCCATTA